AAAAAAATTTAAAAATTAGTTGGCTTTGGTGTCCGGTATCCTGCACCTGTACTTCAAGCTACTTGGGAGGCTGAGGTAGGAGGATCACTCAAGCCTGGGAGGTTGAGGCTGCAGAGAGCTGTGATTGCAGCATTGCACTCTAGCCTGAGTGACAGACAAGACCCTGTCTCAAAAAAAGAGGGAAAAGATTTAAATGTAACATCTAAAACTATAAATGTCCCAGAAGAAAACTAAGGAAATACCCTGTTGACATCAGCCTTGGCAAAGAATTTTTGGCTAAGTCCCACAAAACAATTGGTAACAAAACCGAAAATGGACAAGTGGGACATAAAGAGCTCCTGCACAGCAAAAGAAACTGTCAATGGAGTAAGCAGGCTACCTACAGAATAGGAGAAAATATTTGCAAACTATGCATCTGACAAAAGTCTAGTATCCAGAATCCATAAGAATTTTAAACAAATCAACAAACAAGAAACAAATAATCAAAATAAAAATGGGCAAAAGACATGCACAGACACTTCTCAAAAGAATACATACAAGCAGCCAACAAACATATGAAAAAATGTTCAATATCACTAATTATCAGAGAAACGCATATCAAAACTACTATGAGATACCACTTCACAGTCATCTGAATGGCTATTCTTAAAAAGTCCGAAACAAACAAACAAAAAAAACCCCAATGGATGTAGCAAGGCTGCAGAGAAAAGAGAATACTTGTATGCCTTTGGTGGCAATGTAACTTAGTTCAGCCACTGTGGAAAGCAGTTTGGGAATTTCGCAAAGGACTTAAAACAGAGCTACCATTGGACGCATTACTGTGTATACACTCCAGGGAAAATAGACACATGCATTCAAATGTTCATTGCTGTGCTATTTATAATAGCAGACATGGAATCAACCTAGGTGCCTATCAATGGTGGATTAGATAAAGATAAAGAAAATATGGATACTATGCAGCCATAAGAAGCAATGATATCATGTCCTTTGTAGCAACATGAGTTGGGGGCTATAATCCAAAGCAAATTAATGCAAGAACAGAAAACTAAATCCTGCATGTTCTCACTTATAAGTGGGAGGCAACCACTGAGCACACATGGACATAAACATGAAAACAATAGATTCTGTGGACTACTAGGGGGACAGGGAGGGACAGAGATATGAGCTGAAAAACTACCTGTTTGGTACTATACTCCCATTTGGGTGCCATATACCAAGTAGCAAACCTGCACATGTGCCCCTGTATCTAAAATAAAAGTTTAATTAAAAAACAATTAGAGTAATAAGTGTGGCAAATTTAATTTACAAATGATGAAACTATGCAGAGTAATGTCCTCCAGTAGAAATTCTCATCCCAAACTCTAGAAACTGTGATTATGTTGGATTACATGGCAAAAGAGAATCATCAGATGAAATTCTGATGAAACTAATTGATTAATCTTAAACTAATGGCTAAACCATAGATTATTCTGGTTTATCTGAATTGCCCAGATACAATGATAAAAGTTCTTAAAAGCAGAAGAGGAAGTGAGAATGAGAAATTCAGAGGAAAATATGACTATGGCAGAAATATATTAGTAACATTGCTGGCTTTGAAGAGGAAAGAAAAGAAACTTCTAGCGGCTAGAAAAAGCAAGGAATCAAATTTTCTTCTAGTGTATTCCAAAAGGCATGCTCTTTTCCATACACCTCGCTTTAGTCCAGTGAGACTCATCCAGACTCCTGAACTACAGAACTATAGTTCATAATACATTTGTGTCATGTTAAGCTGTGAAGTTTGTGATAATTTTTGTATAGTGAGTATAGGACACTGATACATCCTACTTCTGAAAAAGGGAGGTATTTGCATGTTTTAAGAACATATAGAACATATGGACATTTTAATCTATTATTGAGGAAATCAAAAGAGGCTATATTAATGAGATGATACATAATATTTAAAATATTTGTAGTATGAATATACAGTATTATACACATATCAAATATTTCCCTAAAATATTTTAGTGATTAAAAAAAGATTTAATGCAATCTAAAAGTGTGCATATGTGTGTGTGTGTGTCTGTGTGTGTGCCAATTAAGAACTGATTATGAAACTTTCTTGACAATGCTAAGTGTAAAAATAAATAAATAAATAATTGGAGGATTTACCTTCCAAAATCAAGTATATAGAAAAATCCCAATTGTATTTGTATAGTATTGGTGCAATTTTATACAAATACACTAATTAAAGAATACTGAACATACAGAAAAATTCTTATGCTTTTGAGAATTCTATCTGAACTGACTGAGTTTGATTTGTGTTAGGCTGACTCTCCCAGGAATCTGATATCCACAAGCTACTACTAAAATCCCAAGATACATTCCATCTGAAGGGAACATAGTTAATATGGTTAGTCCCATCCCTTATGTGGTACTAGAAAATAGAGGACAAACTGTCATCTCCTGGGAACATGAGAAACTGAATAAATGTTTTCATTTTATCTCTTAGCAGAATTCTCCTCAGCCTAAAATTTTGTTTGCATCCTTTTAAATAGATACTTCCTACTAATTATGTGACCCAGAAGAGAAGAGGGCCTGGTAAGTAAAAAACTGCAGTCAGTTAGTGAGAAGAAAAACCCTACACTGGCTCTTTGATTTTATCTAATAACAGAGCCTTTAGTTTAATCAATGTTCAAATAGAGGTTGTGTTCTGGAAGACACGACCCTGGGAGAAAGAGGTTTTTATGACACAAATGATTCTATAATAAGGAAATAAACAATGGTGGGAGAATACTGACTTCATGTGTAGACCAGCTTATGTGACCAGTAGTGCAAAAGGAAACTCAGAATGAAAGAGGGATTAGGTGCTGTGGCACATCCCTTTAATCTCAGCACTTTGGGAGTTTGAGGTGGGAGGATTGCTCTAGTTCAGGAGTTTGAGACCAGCCTGGGCAACATGGTGAGACCCCCTCTCTATAAAAAAAAAATATACAGCAATTAGCTAGGTATAGTGACACATACCTATAGCCCCAGCTACTCAGGAGGCTGAGATGGGAGGATCACTTGAGCCTGGGAGGCAGAGGCTGCAGTGAGCTGAAAGAGCTCTTTGGGTAGAGGAAATGAGATCAGAATAAGATTTGGCTGAACCAACAAACCTCAGTTTGGATATTTTCTTAGGCTTTCCTTCATAGTTTTAATAATTAGTTATTAATTTTTTTCACCTTTAAATGTATTACCTGTAACCCTGGCGAAATGTGCTCCAAGAAGGACAACTGCAATTTAGCACAAATTATAGAGATCTTTTTTTTCATAGTTCATTTTAGTCTACTACTTTTTAGACCACAAGAGATCATGTGACCACCATTTTAGGGAGGACTTCATGAAGACTCTGCTGATACATGTTATTCCCATAAGCTCAGTGCCGGTAAGAGTTCAGTCTGCATCAGACCAGGAGATATAACTTGGAACAGACTTTCATTCAGAGGGTTGCCTTTGGGCAGTGAGAACTAGTTACATGTCTCGTAGGAAAATATAATATGCCCACTTCAGCTAATTAATGACTGTCAGTGACAAAATTAAGGGAGGGAAGCTCACCCATGTAAAGCTTTGACTAGGGACTTGGCAGATGTCACTAAACCTACTTGGCTTGACCTGCCCTTCCTTATGAAGAAGGCTACAGATCCTCACCAAACATAATAATATAGAGCTGGTGTGATAGTGCACAAAATCCACTCTTTCCTTAAACGCTTTTTGAAGGACTTTGTAAATATGTTGGGGAAGGTAAGACCCAAACTATGGCTCGTGTTCTGGGGTGCCTCTCTAATGTTGTGGTTCCCTGGTATCATGCCCCTGATTTTCTTTCTTTTACAAAAGTACTCTATAAAATAGGTCACAATAGCAAAGTTAAAACTCAAAGGGTGTTTTCAATGTAAAAGCTACCTTCAGGGGTGGCCTCTGTTTAATGCAAAGCTGGAGGTTCTCACAGATGAAGTCCAAGAACTGGCAGGCCATAACTGAGAACATTGGGGTAAAATTTCTTTTATTATTCTTTATTTTATCTTTAGAAGATATGAATCTGCTGTGCTGACTTTACCTAGGACTAATTGCCCTTGGTGTTCTCTGTTATGTAGACATTTTCAAACTCATGGAGTGGTAAAGTTGCCTCCTTTGTTAACATCAGAGATCCTCCAGAGCTTAGGACATTGACCTTCAAGTCATAAATTATCCTCTGAACTCACTGCTCTCTGCTTGAGTCAGGGTAATGCTGTTCACTTGTCCCTGTGTGTTTTCTGATACATGCTTTCTCTCATATTAACAATCCCAGAAAACATACACTCTGAACCATATTTCAATCCCAATGAAACGAAACTCTACCAAAACACACAGCACTGGAATCTGCCTTTTATTTTTTATTCCTTTTATTATTTTTTCTTTTGCTTTATCCACATTCTTCAGTTAATTTGATCAGACCCATTGTCTGAAATGTATTTGCTCTATAAAAGTCAGTTGCTCCCCTTTTCTCATAGCTCATCGTCATCCAGCTTGATATTTTTAATATTTTTATTATTCTCTCTCCCTACCCTGTCTCCCCACTCCTTCTCCTTATGCTTGGTTTTTCCTGTTTTTAAAACCTGAGTCTATCCTTAATAATCTGCATTGAAAAAAGAAAACAGTGAATTACATTTAATCATATGAAATTGCTGACCTACAAAAATAACCATTTCATAGGTTTATTAGTAAATAAAGAAAGTAAATATCTAAAGAAATATCTAAACAAAATAAAGAAATGAGGTGGGTGTGATGCCAAAGAGAAGGGACAAGTGAAGGATCTTATGCCAAGAGAAGGGTCCGTTTTACAGGTACCAGCTCTTCCTGGAACAGGAGGAGCTTCAGGTGGTTACACTGGGTGTGACAGTTGCAGTCCTCAGCAATGTTCAACACCTGGGTTAAACACTGTAGGTTTCACAGCTCATTCTGACAGTTGGTTTGTCTTCAGGGTTCAAGAACCTGTGGATCCCAGACTGAAGAGACCATGTATAACTTGAGTTGTTACAACCCCAGCTCCTTTATCCTTGTTGGAATACCTGGCCTGGAGAAGTTCCACATGTGGATTGGGATTCCCTTTTGTGTCATCTATGTTGTGGCTGTTGTGGGCAATTGCATCCTTCTCTACCTCATTGCAATTGAACACAGCCTCCATGAGCCCATGTTTTTCTTCCTCTCTATGCTGGCCACCACAGACCTCCTCCTGTCCACTGCCACAGTGCCTAAACTGCTCAGTAACTTCTGGCTTGGCTCCCAAGAAATAACCTTTTCTGGTTGTCTCATTCAGATGTTTTTTCTCCACTTCACCTTTGTGGTGGACTCAGCCATCCTGCTGGCCATGGCATTTGATCGCTTTGTTGCCATCTGCTTCCCCTTGAGATATACCACCATCCTGACTCCTCAGGTGATCGTCAAGCTTATGGTGAGCATTGTTGTGAGAAGCTTCTCCATCATCCTGCCAGATGTTTTTCTGCTAAAACGGTTGCCCTTTTGCAGGACACATACCATCCCACACACATACTGTGAGCACATAGGTGTTGCTTGGCTTTCGTCTGCAGACATCTCTATCAACATCTGGTATGGGTTTGCTGTACCTCTCATGACTGTTATCTCAGATGTGATCTTTATTGCTGTTTCCTATGCCTTCATCCTTCATGCTGTGTTCCAACTCTCATCCCAGGGTGCCCGCCAAAAAGCCCTCAGCACCTGTGGTTCCCATGTCTGTGTCATCCTCATGTTTTACACCCCTGCCTTCTTCTCCATCCTTGCTCATCGCTTTGGGCACAGTGTCCCTCGAAATGTACTTATCCTGTTTGCCAACCTCTACGTGGCCATCCCTCCTGCTCTAAATCCTATTGTTTATGGAGTGAAAACAAAGCAAATCCAGGACAAATTTATTCTCCTCTTCTCTTTGAAGAAGTCACAATAAGTGGACACTGAAGGAGAATATACATAAAATTGATTTGGTGAAATTTTTTGTAACATAGGACGGTAAAAAGATAAAGATGTAACTCTTATTAATTTGAAATTTCTGCTTTTTACCTATGTGCAAAGTATAGACAAGAGGAAGAGGGAAGAAAGAAAAATCTTATAAACATCTAGAAAATAGAGGATTTTCTTGATTTAGTTTTTTCACCACTTGTGTGAACACAGTAGAGCACTAAAACTAAAGCTTATATTTTTCCTAATGCTAACCAACATATTTGAAGGATAGGTTATTTCCTAACATGCAAATTCAGCCCCGTGTTTCTCAGCTTATGAATTAAAGGCAAAGCCTTTTGCCTTTCCTTATTAAGTAGTTATCAATCCTTTATACTATAATTCTCAAACACACAGCTTCACACTTCTTCAGTTCAGATTCTCTACCTTATTAATGCTTCCTTCTGTGCCCTTGACTTTTTTCTCTTATCCACCTCTTATCACTAGAGTTGCTTATACTTTGTATCTACTTTAATTGTATGCTCTAAGAAAATTCCAAACTTGGTTTTTCCATAACCTTGGATCTATATTTTATAAGTATTTGTATATTTAATTAAGAAAATAATTATGAGAGGATAATATTAGTTAATTTGGTTTACAAACGAGGAAACCAAAACTTACAAAGATTACAGAGAGATAATTAATAGATCTAGGATCTAACCCAGATTTGAATGATTCCAGAATCTACACTCTTAGCCAATAACTTTCTGGGTATCTACTCACACAATTGGTTTACAAGCTACTTAAAGTTAATTTTTCCAAAATTTACCTAGAAACTTACGAACTTTCCCTGCCCCCTCTCTCTCAAAAATCAAACAAACAAAAAAACCACCTATTTCTTTTGTCTTCCTAATTGGTAAATGGCAGTATGAAAAACAGAAATTTCCAAGCAAGAAATCTATCATTTACTCTTTATTTATTCTGTTACTCTCAAAGAAAATTAAATCAACATTAAGTTTTTTTTTTGTTTGTTTTGTTTTTGTTTTTGAGACGGAGTTTCGCTCTTGTTACCCAGGCTGGAGTGCAATGGCGCGATCTCGGCTCACCGCAACCTCCGCCTCTTGGGTTCAGGCAATTCTCCTGCCTGAGCCTCCTGAGTAGCTGGGATTACAGGCACGTGCCACCATGCCCAGCTGATTTTTTGTATTTTTAGTAGAGACGGGGTTTCACCATGTTGACCAGGATGGTCTCGATCTCTTGACCTCGTGATCCACCCACCTCGGCCTCCCAAAGTGCTGGGATTACAGGCGTGAGCCACCGCGCCCGGCGATAACATTAAGTTAAATATTTGAGTTTGAAGTGCTTCTAAATTATTCCAGTGGATATATACATAACATTACCTTTATTAGGGCTGTTGAGCTTGACTAGGCTCTAATCCATTATCTGTCTCTCAGAGAGTATTCCAAAATCTTTTTGAAGTGGTTCCAATCTTGGTCTATCCAATCCACTCTCACTATAAAAGCCAGAATGATCATTTTACAATTCACATATGATTATGACACTTTGTACCTTGAAACTCTTCAATGTTTCCACTGTCCTCAGGGTCATGCCTAGGTACGTCCTTCCTTAGGGTCATTGTAGAGAATGCAAGACTTAAATAAAAAGAGAGACCTTCTGTAAAACTAAGAGCTTTACACTTTATTTACATTTGTTTATATTTTATTTATGTTTAATTACACTTTATTTGCACTCCCCTGACTCTTAGAGCAAATAATTCCAGAAGTGATATTTTTCTTTTATGTTGCCATACTCAGTGTCCTGTTTTTGTTTTTGCTTTATTTTACATACAAGAAAACCTGGTGTGGGTGGAGTGTGTGTTGGAGTTGGGTAGGATTTATTCATGTTCCTGTTAGGAAACTGTCCCAAGATAACAACACTTATTTCTTTCTTTCTTCTTTTATATATATATATATATATATATATATATATATATATATATATATATATAAAATTGCACTTTAGGTTCTGAGGTACATGTGAAGAACATGCAGGATTGTTGCATAGGTACATACACGGCAATGTGGTTTGCTGCCTCCATCCCCATCACCTATATCTGGCATTTCTCCCCATGTTATCCCCCACCAACTTCCTACCCCCCACTGTTCCTCCCCTATTCCCCCACAACAGACCCCAGTGTGTGATGCTCCCCTCCCTGTGTCCATGTGTTCTCATTGTTCAACAGCCGCCTATGAGTGAGAACATGAGGAACAACACCTATTTCTTAAGATCTCCATTGTAAAAGAAGACATACATTGAATCAAGACAGACATGTTAAATTACCCGGGAGGAAGAAGTAAAGAGTAAAATTGGCATTCTGAGATAAGAACCTGTGTGTATGTGAGTGTGTGGTATGTGTGTGTGGTGTATGTTGACATTTTCTTTGTTCTCTGCAGTGCCCTGCAGCCAATTCAGAAGAGACATATGCAGAGGCTGCTTTATTTATGCCACTACTAAAAATTGGCATATTTATTTGCTTATACATTTATCTATCCACAGCTATGTTATTGGCGCAGAATTTTTCTCAGCCACTTTTGCCAGCCAGATCTCTGGCTGGTGATACCCCTGCCCAGGTCTTGCTCAGGCCTGGGTTTGTTGCAGAAGATGCCCCATACATTCAGCCTGCTGGGCCATTCCCGGCCTGCTCTCTGGTGCAAATGCTGCAGCAGCTGTGACTGCACACTTAGCCCCTGGCAGTAGAAGGTGTGTGAGTGAGAAAGTGTGGGGTTTGGCCAGCTGTTTAGAGTGCCAGCACTGTAGGGGGCTCTATGCAGGGCTTGTGGCTAGATCAGGGACCAAAAGTGTCTCAAGCTTCTCTTATAATGGACTCTGGCATCCAGACAAAAGGAACTTGGTGGCACCCAGGCAGTGGTGCCCTGACCCAGAAGCCTCAGAGATGTTATAGTGTGCTAATTAGCTCTTTTAGTCCTGCTGTCTGGAGCCCAATGGATGGCAGCAAGTTAGCAGCTCTGTCAGTCCCTTGCCTTGCTCCAGTCTATGACTCTGGGTCTGGGTTGGCTCCACTGCTGCTTCCTGTTGCATGGGTGACTGCCCTCTGCCATCAGAGGGCTGAGGGCCACAATTGTTACAGCCTTCAGTATACCTGCATTTGGTGGGTCCCAAGTTCTTGTCCCATGTCCAAAAATAAGATCACACTGAAAATCAATGGGTGAGGAGGGCAGAGAAGAATTTTATTGAGCAACGAAATAGCTCTCAGCAGAGATGGAACATAAGGATGGACCCCCACCAGAAGTTGGGTGGTTTCTCTCTGTGTGTGGCTGGATCTGGGGCTTTTATGGACTCAGAATGGGGAGTGCATGCTGATTGGGCTGAGAGTATGCAGAAAAGGCTAAAACAAAAGCATTAAAAGTGGGCATGACAATGTAAAAAACCAATTAGGGAAGGGTAAGTATATGTAAAACAGGTGAAGGGTAAGGATCAATCAGAGGAAGGTGCACCACATGGGAAGAGAGGTTCTCAATCCAGTCTGTGGATTTACCCAAGACTTTTAGCTTGTGTTTCAGGCTTTAAACTGTCTTTAGTTTGAAGATGGGGTTTCACCAGGGACCCACCACTGTCTGCCTAGGATTTGTCTGCCTCCTGCTGCCATTATTATGAACTCCTTGAAGGCAGAAATTTCATCTTAGGTACCTTCTTATACTCTGTCCAATGAAAATACCTGCCAAACCATATGTTCTCAATACGTTCATGCATATCCAAACTTCATCAGAAATATATTCCTTCAAGCTATCAGCCCTAACTTTTTCTTTCTTCCTTCTCTAGCCAGCTTACATTCCCTGATGCATTGAGCCATTGTCTTGTTTGTGTCCTAAACTCACCTGTCTCCCCTACATACTCAGTTGAAAAAGTATTCCTGGAATGTTGATGAAGTTAGTTCTGTATTTTGGAGAACCTGGCAAAGGTGACCCCACAGGGCAAATTGATACTACTGCAAGTGAATTGCGATAGTAGAGTTGTCATACTTGCCTGGTTTCAGCCCCTCAAATAAACCGAATTTTTCCTTGTTCCTTCTCTTTACTATTCTTTGCTTGACAACTCCTGTTTAGGCTTCAATTAAAATTCCTTCCTCAGATATTCCTTCTTTAATCCTGCACACTAGATTAGTAACACTTGCATACATTTTCATGACAGCATGTAGTTTTTTAATTTTAGGGCTATTCACAACTTGAATAAGGTGATTTCTTATATTCTTTGTTTTTATGTTTGTCTTTTCCATTAGGTCACTGAAGACCTGTTTAGAGTCTGCTTTGTTCATCATTGTTTTCTCATCACTTGTAAGGTTTTTTAGCACAGATAAGTGCTCAATAAATACTTGCTGAATAAATGGGTTGAAACAAATGAGTTTTAATTAATTCCTGAAGTCTCTGCTTCCCATGGTAACGAACTGCCTGAATTTGTAACTCAGCCTAATCAGAAAGATAATTCTAAAGAGTCAATGAGAAAAGTTTATTTTCTTCATAGAAAGTTGATAATTTTTATTCTGCTTATTCCTTGGACTTTGTCCATAAGCATTTTCAAGTAATTTTCTTTTTCACAGATGTAAAAACTAGTTTTCAAAACAGTTAAGAATTTTGCTATGTCACAAATGAAGGAATGAGGAAAACAAGGAATAAATTCTAGATTTTTTGCCACTTGGCTTCGAAGTTAGATTCCTTGTTGGACTTATGGAAGGCTGTGTTTAGAGTTTTTCTAAGTACTCATGTTGGATATCTGTGATTTTTAGACCTACATATAATTTGTGTTAGAGATCTGATTAGATAATGCAGAATGCCATAAGAGTATAGCACATTGTCTAATTTGAATATTGGTCAGAAAACTTACTGGGGATAGTAAATGAGTGGGAGTTATCTAGAAGAAGAGAGAAATTGACTAAGCTGAAGAAATATCCACAATTAAACATGAGTGGAGAAGAAATTCAGAAAATAGTATTCCCAAGAACTGAAAGGTGAATTGGCAGAGACATAGCTGGTGGACTAAAGTTATCTCACTTTTGACATGGTAGAGGCTGTGTGGATTCTTCTATGTTGATGTTAGCATCTGAGCTGTAGCGTTAGTTAATATAATATTTGCTTAAGACTGGACAAATAAAATTATTGAAGGTTTTAAAAGTGTCATGTGGAAGCTACAGGGCTGTGATGATGTCAGTAATGCCACAGATCTGATTAAGTAAAAAGCCATAATTTATATGCATGTTGTTCAGTTATATGTACCCCAGATACAATGCCGGCAAGACACCTAAGAATGTAGATCCACACACTCAGGTAATGTGTCTTTAATTTAATGCCTGTTTGCTTAACTTGGTGGATAGTAAACAAATGGGCGTATTTTAAGTAACACTTAAAATTGTTTTCTTAAATTAGAAGAAAAGTGGTAGCCAATAAAAAACAAACAATGAACACCCCCCCCACCAAAACACTTGGTTTATAGTTTTTGGAGATGAAAGAATTTGTTGTTTCAACACCTTTGACTACTCTTTTCATCACACCTTTATCAATTGGCATATTCTACCAATTTTGCCTTCTATTTTAGAAATCAATTTGTTAAATTTCTGCTTTTACACTAACTCAGGCTTCCATTATCTACTTCCTTACAGCAATTATTATACTCCATTGCTTACTTACAGATATTAAGACTTAAGTCTTAATATGTGCCTTGCTGTATCTGGGCACATATTAAAACTTAAAAAATATTTAAATAAATGACTTAGGTTTTTACAAAACAAATGTAATACCCTGTAAAATAAGCCTAAAATACTTTTCCCTCTATGCTCAGAAATCAATTGTATCTTACACGAATTATCTTCTGTTTAAAAATAAAAAAGCAAGACAGGCACGGTGGCTCATGCCTGTAATCCTAGCACTGTGGGAGGCCAAGGGGGGTGGATCATGAGGTCAGGAGTTCAAGACCACCGTGGCC